TTTTTCCCCTCTCTCTCCCATCCTCCCTCTACTCTTTTTTTCTGTTCCCCCACCAACATCAGGGGCACAGCTAAATAGAGTGGCCTTGCTCTCTGCTGACATGATTGAGTTTTTCTATAAAGGTAGTACCTGCACAGGGCTATAGATGACAATCCTATAGATAGATCCATGAGTAGTGGTGGTTGTGTGCCTTCAAGTAATTTCTGACATGGTAACCCTATGGCAACCCTATCATGGGGTTTTCTTGGCAAGTTTCTTCAGAGGGAGCTTGCCATTGTCATCTGAAGCTGAGAGAATGTGACTTGGCCAGGTCACCCAGTAGGTATCATGGCCGAGCCGGGAATCATAATCCAACACTCAAGCCACTACGCCATGAAATTTAATTCAGTGGTAATTGCTTCTGAGTCTCTTTCACAGAATGTTCACCAACAGTGTCTATTCAATGAAATAGGCTTCATTTTACATGCTTCTGCTTCCAAGACAAGTAATTTATTACTTATCACAATTCCTTTAATTATTTATTGGGAATTTGGAAGGAGAGTATAAGGAAAATGTGAGACAATCAAGTTTTTCTTTTGAATATTGAAAACCCCAACTATAGTTATTTTAATTATACAGTAAAAAAAATAACAGTATAATAACAGTTAAATGTTCATTGTATTATACTGTAGTATTTTACATGCCACAAACACTTTGAAAAACTAATATTTGCAGATAGCTATTTACACATTAGAAGTCAACAAACAATCAATAGGCAAATCATTATAAAGGTTCCATTTCAAACACTTGTTTTCAGTTTCCTGCTCTTTTCTTAAAGCAGCTTCCAAATCTTAAATCTCTGCTGTTTGCAGTCTTGTTATCCATTGATCTCTCCCATCTCCTTTATTTATCTTGCCTTCCATACATTCAGAGAGTCTGCATGGTATAGTGGTTTTAGAGTTGGACTAGAATTCTGGGAGACCAGGGTTCAAATCCCTGCTTAGCCACTGAGACCCACTGGGAGACCTTGGGCAAGTCACACTCTCTCAGAATAAGAGGAAAGCAATCGAAAATCTCCTGTGTACAAATCTTTGCAAGAAATCCATGAAAGGATCAACATAAGCTGGAGGCACATTACAGCAACAACAAGCCATACATTCAATTGATTTTTAACTGCATTTCTGGATTCTTCAGTATCTGAAGCAGGCATTACTGATATCTGTGACTCATGTGCAGACTTAAGCATCAGTAGTTAACTTTCTGCATATATGTGCTACTTTGATAGTAATGTAAAAATTGAGTCAGGCTGCATCCACACTGCAGAAATAAAACAGTTTGACACCACTTTAACTGCCAAGGCTCAATAGTATGGAATTTTGGGAAAGCCACCCCCCGACTCGTCGGGAGGGGTCCGCTGTTGCGTCGGCCACTAGGAGGCCTCGACGCATTGATTGGTGGAGCAGCCCGGAAGTCCCGCCCTTGCCGGGCTGCTCCACCAATGAGTGTTTGGTCTCGCGCGGAGCATCACGAGATTTGTAGTCTCGCGATGGTTTGCGTGAGATCTTAGGGGATATATCACTTGGAGCTGCCTCGTGGCTGGCAGCCATTTTGATTAGACCAGAGAACTGGCGACACGTTCTCTTGCTGAGCTCTTGC